CCCTCCAACGAGGCTGGTGCCTCTCCATCAATAGCGGGACCCCTGTTTTTTTTTTTTTTTCCTATTGATCCCGTTTCTATTCTTGCTCACAGCTATTTTTAATCACCGCGGTAAAAACGGCGCCGGCCCCGCCGCCAGCCACCCCTGCCGCAGTGCCTGGAACTCTCCCGGCACAGGCTCCTGCTGTCGAGGAGACTGAAGATTTTGGCCATCACCGCTGCGCCGAGCTTTTATCCCCAACTGCACGCGGGCAAGGAGGAAGATCTGATGAATCACGCCGCTGGGCACGCTTACAGCCGGCCGCGGCTCGAGGAGCATGGCACCAGCACGGCTTTTCCCGGCGAGAAGCCGGGTGCAGAAGCAGCGCCGGGACACTCACCTGGAAGCAGAGAGCCCCGTTGTGGTCAGCGTCGAAGGCGTTGAACAAGAAGTGCGCGTAGGTGCTGGCGTCTGCGAGGGGAGGAGGGCGAGAGCCGGTGAAGCCCCCTCCCCCGCACGCACTGGGATTGGGATTTGGCATTTTCTCCAGATGCAACCCACGCCCAGCACCCCCAGACTCCCCGTGCCGGCCTTGAGGGTTCCCCCGACTCACCGCCTTGGGGGAAGAACTGCGAGTAGATGAGCTTGAAGGTCTCCTCGTCCACGAGGCCGCTGGGACATTCCTGGGGAGAAGAGTGGGCGCCTGGTGAACCCCGGCTCCACCAAAAGTGGTGGGGGGCTGGGACAAGGGTCCCCCGCACACTCACATTCTTGAAGCCACGGACGGTAGAGGGATTGCAGCTCCTTCTTGGTGAACTTGGTCTGGGCCAGCAGCTGCTCCAGCCCCTCAGGTTGGTGCCGTATGGCCGACAGCTCCAGCTCGGCATCGCCACCGTCTGCCGGGAGACACCGGCAAAGACCCCCATGGGTCCAGCAGCTTCTCCGCATCATCCTGCACTTGATCCCAGGCTCTTTCCAGCCTGGATCTGACCCTGCTTAAGACCAAAACCCCCCAACCCAGCGGCAAAGCCCAAATTCCCCTTGTGCCGGGAGAGATGCCGGCGAGCTCCGGGTTTAACATCCCAAGGG